GAACTACGAAAGCTAGGCCAATACAAATGAATACTGTTTTATTAGAAATGTGTAAAACCGAAATAGCAGAACTCCTACAGAGAAAGCTCATTAGACCAAGTTCTTCACCTTGGAGCTGTGCAGCTTTTTATGTTAACAAAAATGCTGAAAAAGAAAGAGGAGTTCCTAGATTGGTAATAAACTATAAACCATTAAATAAAGTATTACAATGGATTAGATATCCAATACCTAATAAAAAAGATTTATTAGACAGAGTTGCTCAGGCTTGCATATTTTCAAAATTTGATATGAAATCAGGATACTGGCAAATCCAGATCCAGGAACAAGATAAATACAAAACTGCATTCAATGTTCCCTTTGGACAATACGAATGGAATGTAATGCCTTTTGGATTAAAAAATGCACCATCAGAATTTCAAAAAATAATGAATGATGTTTTCAACTCTTACTACCCTTTTATGATAGTTTATATTGATGATGTCCTAATATTCTCTGAATCAATTGATCAACACATAAAACACATAAATACATTTATCCATGCTGTTAGCCAAGCAGGCTTAGTGGTTTCTGCCAAAAAGATTACACTTTTCAAAACCAATATCAGATTTCTAGGACATATGATACATCATGGCACCATTATTCCAATAGATAGATCTATAGCTTTTGCTGATAAATTTCCTGATAAGATTCTTGATAAAACAGAGTTACAAAGGTTTTTAGGATGCCTCAATTACGTAAGTGATTTCTATCCTAACCTTGCTTTGGATTCTAAACCATTATATGATAGACTCAAGAAGAATCCTCCTCCTTGGTCTGACATTCACACTCACGCAATAAAGGTAATAAAGAGTAAGGTAAAAACCCTTGAATGCCTTTCTCTTCCTCATCCCACTGCTTTCAAGAGCTTGCTTGGGTCCATGTGAACCTGCTATATATATATATATATATGTAATCTCTAACATGGATATCATGAATTTGAAAAAATAAATAAATTTTAAAAAATATAAATAATAATTCTATTAAGAAAACATTTGGACCGTTAGTTTCAGTTGTTTTCATATGGACCACATATTCGCATCTATCTTTACAATGGATGCTTTATACTTATGGACCGGTCTAGCCCACATGAAATAATTTTCCTTTTATAATTGTACTCAATAAATTTTAGGCACGATATACTTTTGTTTCGTACATAGAGCATTTTTTAGTAAAAGTATTGTTTGTCATTAAGAAATGTGTGACAACATCCACATGAGATGTGATATCATTCACATGGAACACACAAGTGGCATTTAATTATCCATGTGAGTGATGTCACATCCCATTATGTTACCCCTCCTAATGACAAAAAATACATTTACCAGAAAAATTTATATTACAAAACAATAGTGTATAAGTGTTCAAAATTGTTGAATACAATTATAAAATTCTCTATAATGCTAACAATCTAACATGACCCATATATATATATATATCATACTATACATTATTTTTAAAATTAGGTTGGATCTGGATCTAATCCACCTATAACCAGATCCGACTTGAATTACTATTCAAATCTAAATTTTGGATTTGGAACCAAATTTTTCATCTAAATCTTGGATCCATACTTGGACCCGGATAAGATTTGTATTTCAGGTTTCCAATTCAAATAAGGTAAATTCTCTCCCATTAGACAAACATATCATGTTCGTACTTAATTTGTGTAATTTTTATTTATTTTTCTCAAACTGGTCAAACTTTGGATTTGAAGGACACCGGGGTTTTATCACACATAAGATCCAAACAGCCGCTAATGGCACAATCCTTTACATTTCCTTGATTTATTTTCCTTTTAATTCAACCCGGCCCGGGCTCGGCCTGTTGCCGGCCCTAATATAGATGTGTCTTACTTATATTGTTTAAATTTGACACCTTATACAAACCACACCCTATATGCATCAAAACCCATAGATTTACAAAAAAAAAAGAAAAAGAAAGTGAGTTTATCTGTTTGTGGTTTTGTGAAAATTATTACACTTTGCATGAGGGAGAAATCAAAATAAGCGATGCATGCATGGGTGTTTTAGTAGCTAAAAATGGTGTTACAACAAATGTATTATGTATCAAGACATGTCTAACCTTATTGATTTTTAAGCTGATATATTCTAACATTTGACACTTAAAGTAACATCAATGTCGGTGTCCATGTAACCCTGTTTAAAAACGTGATAGTGCCCTTCACTAATTCAGAGCTAATAAATATATCAACTCATGTATATTCTCCATAGAGATTGGTTTTGGAAGAGGATTTAAGTTTGAAGAAAAATAAATAAATCAAGAAACAATATATTATATACAAGAGTAAAAAATAAATAAAGAGATTGGAAAATGAGGGTAAAAGAGAAATTCTGGGGACATTTGATGATATCAGGACAGTATGAAATGGATCAAATGGAGTATGATTGTGGACGAAGATTTAAAAAATAAAAAATAGTATGTTATACATAAAAGCCAAATGGGGGTAAAAAATAAAGGGTATGGAGGAGCAATACTAGAAGAGGAAATAATATCATGTGAATGTTAAATTTATCAATTTTAAAATTGAAATGTAGAATTTATTAATTTAACAAATGAAATGTTAAATTTATTATTTTAATAAAGGAAACTAATTAACATTATATTATCGATTGGCAATGTTAATGCTAAAATTTACAAGTTAGAACTAATACTGAGCATGAATTTGGGGAATGGGGCACCAATGTATTTACAAAAGGAAATGCCCTTGCAATTACACCAATTTATAATCAAAATGGGTAAATTTCATTGTAATTAAAATATTTATTTAATGAAAACAAATAGAGGTAATTTTCTCTTCAAATTTAACAAAAAAATGCTTTAAAAAGAAGAAGAAATGTATACAATGAGATCATTTATTTTATATACAAGGAGGCCACATTCATTATTGATCATTAGATCTGAAATTAGGTGGTTGAGGATCTATCATTAATTGGGTACAAAATCCAAAATAAAAATTCTCAAATATTGTGACAAACTCCAGTCTATTGGATTTCACATCAAATAGCTAAAAATGATTGTAACCTATTTGTACCAAAAATAAATAATCTCATAGTATACAATCCCAACAACAAAAAAAAAAGCCACAATGCCTTGTTCTTTTTGTATGGAATTCAATCCTTTGGTAAAGCTTAGGTTTTGGGAGGTTTTCCACACCCCACTAACCATTATCTAGTTTGGGATTTACCCAAAAAGAACTCACAAAAAAGGAGCTTGCATGCTTATGGCAAAGAAACTTCTATAACACCTTAATTCTTTTTATTTGAATTTTAATCCATTGCAAGTTTGACCCAAAATGAACATTATTTAGTTTTGGTAACGCATTTGTTGGGTTGAAAGCTTGACTAGATAGAGGTGCAAGATTGTTTGAGGGGAGAAAAGGGAAAAACAAAGATCCATAGAGATCACATGAATAGAATGGTTATAGGATCACCACCATCAAATTAAAGGTTGAGCAGTGACAAAAATGAGTTGACTTACGATTGTGTTGATGTTATTTTTTAAGAGATCTCCACAGCTGCTTACAATTGTGTTGATGTGAATTTTTGAGATAAATTTCCAGTAGTGCTGCCAACGGGCCAGGGCAGTCCTGCTGGCTCTCGAGGGCGAGTTCTACTGCATGTTAAGGCCCGTAGGCAGTGTTGGGTTTTGGGATCGCACTATACATTATGGTGGACATAAACTCTTATATAACTAGGACCAAAATCAAGAAATCAAAGGCGAAACACGTTTTTTTCAAAGTACTAAAACGCCCATGTTTCAGTAAAAATTTTTGAGGTGCAAACGGGTTGTATACTCCCAAAATACAACTAGATCAAAGTACAAATCCTGAACCCCTGAGTTGGACCCATACAATACAAAACTACACTATCAAAATACTGATACATTTTCCAATTGGTATTTATCATTAAATATCGATTGAAAATATACTTCTCTTTCACACTACAAACATCATCCAATTCGTACAATTTCATTTAAAACATCGATTAGAAAAACAGATTTCTCTCACATTAATTTTCGTCCAATTGGTAGAAATGATATTCAATTGGGTATGGTATGACATCTCTCACTACATAAATAATATTCCAATCGGTATAACAAACTTCAATTGGGTATAATACACTGAAATTAATAAATATGTTGACACCCTCATGCGTAAAAAATTCCATGTTATCTCCTCTTATCCGGACTTGACTCAGTTTCTCTATAAAAAAAAACATTCCTAGTTGCAATTAAATTTCTATAGGAATTAAATCAAGTTTCGAAAGTGTGATACTAAACAATCCAAAAAAATAATATCTTCTATAATGTAAAAAAAGAAAGTGCATACCTTACCTGAAAACCCCGTAGAGAGAGAGAGAGAGAGAGCCATTTCTATAAAACAAACTCGTAACAGGCAGAGTTTTTTTTTTTTTCTCGAATATTAACACAAGCATAACAGGGAAAGTCTCTAAGCTTCCCAAAACGTGATAAAAATGTTATTGTTAACGGTTCAAATTTGCTTACTAAACCAGCTTCTACCTTTTATATCTATAAAATAATAAAATAATTGAACTTCAATACGTGTTTGAAAGGGAGCCCAAAAATAATAAATAAATAATGTCAAAAAAGGTCGAGAATGCCACAGAAACAATACGTGGCACTCGAAAACAAAGAGAGGGTAAGTGAGTTGAAAATGGACCATAATGCTTATATAGACTAGCACACATACAAAAAGATTGTTTTGAAACACATCTTTCACAAAAGCTAACAGGCAGGGCCGACATCAGGCCTGGCCCATCACAGAAATTTTATGTACTAAATAAAATTTTATGCAATCGGTTTTTTTTCAAATTGGGTCGGGTTTGGGCCACACTATCAGGCTGAACTTGATACTAAAATTTTTGGGCCCGGTCCTCACCTACACTGCTCCAGGCTGGGCTCAGGCCAGGGCCCGGCCCGTTGACAGCTCTACTTTTTAGTCTCACAGCAACGCTTCGGCAAATAAACGAAACAGGATGTCAATGAATTCTACGAGCTAATGTGTTCATAAAAAAACAATAGAAAAATTGTTTTATGCTGCGGGAACCGCATTTCTACATTTATGGTCATCGAAGTATAGAACATACACCTTAAAAATAGATGGAAATAGGTGATTCATGAAATAGATGGAAATAGGTGATTCACGAAACTAACTGTCAAATTGTTTTCTTAATAGAATTATTATTTTTAATTTTAAAAAATATACTTATTTATTTCATATTCATAATCTCCATATTAGAGATTACATGTCATTCAAAATTAGGTAAAAATATCCACCTCAAAAAAAGATTTTTAAGAGGTGACTCATTTCTACATAAACCGTGTCCAAAACAATATAAATGATATGATTTCCATTTCCAACTTTGTAGAAACACATGGAATGGAAGAAGCCAAAACAGGGGAAACCTACAATAACAGGAAAAGTGAGGCACGTGTTCCTACTTTTCTCCATTTTTTACTGTTCCCAAATAAGTAAAAACTACACTTATCAGGGAAAGTCATGCACTTTCATCGCTTTACACAGTTATCAAATGCCCCCAAATGAAATGAGCCACACCGCATAAATAACCAAATGAAAATCCCACCTCATATTTACACCTATTTGCCGCCTTCTACAAAGATGCACAACAGTGTCATGTGTTTTAATTTTCTAAGCTGACTGGGAGCAGTTTCTATGCATTAGCACATCTCAACCATTCATTCACTGATTCATTTTCTCTTTCGAAACTGCTTATCTATCATACCTGTTTCTCTTCTCTTCCCTCATGAAAACAAACTTCACATTGCATCCAATCTATCTGTCTAGTCTAAAATATCCATTGTTCATATTTATTTTCTTCCTCTTTGGAATTCTTTCCAGCCTCAAAGACGAAATTCACATTTCATCTATTTTCTCTCGTCAAAACTAGTTATTCATTTAGGTTTCTCTTCTTCCTCTTCGGAAAAAGCACTTCAGCTTCAAGCTCAACTTCACGCTGCATCTGCTCCCAAAGCTCGCCGAATTGAAATCTGAAACCTTCCTGAAACCAGCACACAATCTCCTCATGAAGTGCCAATGGATTCTCTCTCCAAGTTTCCTTGAGAGCAGCACGGCTATCAACAACTCTAGACCCACTTACCAATCTATTTAGCAGCTCCCCAACCCTTCTCTGCCCTTGAGCCTCAGGCTTTAGCAAGCTCTCTGGATTAGCAGCAAGAAATTTCTGCACATCTTTCAGGCATGGGAGTACCTTTCCCCCAAGTAAAGAACAAGCAAACACGGAGACCCGGAGCCTCTTACTTTTCACAGGCAAATTATGTAAAGGAAGTTCCCACAAATATGGTCCAAAACTTGAGTTAACCCAACAAAGAATTTGATCACTGAAAGGCTCATAAAAGGGTTTTGGGTCCGAAAGTGGTGCAGAGAAAGTACACAGAGAGCTCGCATAAGCAATGAGCCAAGCAGGTCTCACGCTGGTTATACCATGCATAAAAGGTCTCGAGGTTTGAAGCAGTTCGTTATAGACCACAAATTCTGGTGCTGAAGGGGCAGCAGAAGAAGAGCGATGAAGAAAAACAGTTTCTTTCACTACACAAGATTGGTACCTTACAGATTTAGATCTTTTGGCTCCTTCGGGGATTTCTTCAAATTGTCTAATGCGTCGGGCTACTCTATCTGCCCAGCCTGCACAAATAGCTTGCCCCAAGATCCCTTCTTCATTCAATAACAATTGCGTATTCATGGAATTCCTCCATGCAATCTCCACATCCTCGAAGTTTCCACTACTCCAAGAAAACCCACTTTGTTCCTCATCACCACCAATGACTTGACTAAAGATCAGTTGGAGTAGCTGCTTCCTAAGCTTGGACATGTCATCCATGGTTTTCAGGTGCAACCTATTAGTCAAGCAGAACTCCGAGGTCTTTTCTGAAGCCTCAAACAAACATAATGCATTAGCTAGAGTGAGAGCATCACTGCTAGGGTTAGAGAACTTCTTTCTAGATGCCTTGAGCAGTGCCCTCTGCTTCTTCTTCCCCAATTTCGCCTGAGCATTACCTACGTCATCACCCCCCTCTTTAGCTCTATTACCCATGTCATCACCCAATGTTTTTTTCTCTCTATCCCTATCCGTATCATGGTGGTCCACCAGAAAAGGGTTGATTGAGCTCAGAGCTGCTGCAGCTGCAACAGTGAATGCTAGAACTAGGTTTGCTCTAGCATAGCCTGGTTTTTTGTTCATAATTTGAATAGCTGTTAAAATCATACGGGAATGGCGAGGGCTTATTGGATAGCGAGCCATGGCCTTCCCAAGAGGTGTAAGTCTTCCCTTGCTATCCAGTGCATCAAGGACTTTCAAGCATTGTTCAGCTTCTGCTAGAGCCGCACTCTCTGGTGGTGTGGGAAAAGGGAAATTTGCAACCTAAAAGCAAAGAAAGGACACGAGTTAATTCATAGGCTATGTTACCAAAAATTAATCTATGGGACTTTCCAAAAAGAAATAGTGGAGCTCCACAACCCCCCTGCAATCACCAAATTTGTGACTAGGGCACCTTTGGAAAGACGTCACTGGACCTCTCTCTCTGTGCTACTTGTCCTTTCTCAAGACTCGAAACTCTCATGGAGAGATAAATGACCAATCTCTCTCTATCTCTCTCACTCTCCCCCCCCCTTCTTCCCAACAACCGAAAAAAAAAAGGACAAAAAACTCCTCTCAAACTTCTCTCTCAATCTAAAAAGATAAATGTGCTTGAATACTTGAAATTACTTACTCTCTTCTCCCTCTTATCAATATAAACCTTGCCCCCCCCCCCTTCTCTCTCTATACATACATACATACATATATACATACATACATGATGCATGAATGAATTCATATATACATGTGTATATATAGTGTTCACAACAAAGAAGTAAAACTCGTTTAATAAAACTCATAAACGAGGTGATCTCAACTCACCTTATCAATGCCCATGGACTTCATGACAAGGAAGACACCATCCACAGGAGTCTTGCTTATCTCAGGAGTCGAGAAGTCCGGAAAAATATTGTTAAAAACTGCAGATGAGTACAAACGATAGCAATGCCCAGGCCCTGTACGCCCAGCCCTTCCAGCTCGCTGAGAAGCCGACGCCTTACTTATCCACTGAATTTCAAATTTTGCCACTCCACTGCTACCCTCATAGTTCTTCACTTTCTCTCTCCCACTATCCACAACATATTTGATACCTGGAATTGTTAATGAGGTTTCAGCCACATTGGTAGCAACAACTACCAGTCTCTCACCTTCAGGCACTGACCCAAAAACTCGCAACTGCTCAGGTGCAGGTAGCATGGCATAGAGGGGAAGGACATACAATGGGCTTGCAACTTTATTGGGGTTTTCAGTGCTTCCTTCCTTTTTGATGGTAGGGCTTTCATTGTTTCCATTAGAAACATGATGTATGTTTTCTTCATTAGGAGAATGTGTGTCTTCCTTCGGAACTGCACTCGAGGAATTTCCTGCCAAATTCTCAAAGGCAGCTTTTAGTGAAGACAAGCTTCCTGGCTCTTTTAAAATATCTAGAACCTTACCACTCTCCATAGTTATAATCTCATCGTCACTCTCAAACTCTTCACTCTCCACCTCAGAAGACTCTGAATCAGACAAAGGAATATCAACATCTTCCTCATGAGAATTAAAAAAATGGGACTCTTCAATTCCTTGCTTACATGTATTTTCAGAAGCTTCACAGATGCTTTTCATATCAGGGTCTTGTTCTGAGAAACCCAAATTTTTATCCACTGCTTTTCCATTGGAAATTCGTTTTCTCAGTAGCCCTGAAGCTTTACGTAACTTCCTGCATAAATGTTCAACTTCTCGCAGGCCAGTAAGAAACACCAGGATACCACCAGGAGGCAGCTTCTTGTGGATTGACATAACCTTTTTGTAAGCTTGGCCAAGGTAATCCACCATTTCTGTTTTCCTAGAGAAATGGATGGAAACAGGGAATTGTCTTGTGGGGATTTCGATAAGGGGTGGAGGTGCATGAAACAACCTGCTATTCGAAACAAAGTCCTCTATTCTCAATGTGGCACTCATTAGCACAAGCTTTAAAGGACCGAACATATTTTCAGGTTTCAACTTTGAACCTGATCGCAACTTTACCTGTTGCTCTTCATATAATTTCTGCAGAAGCAAATATTTTTATTGGTTATTTCGATTGAATGGTGTGAAGGGAAAAAATAACATTTTATCATGCATTTGAAATCATAATTAGTTTAGACTGTCAGAAGGTAAACACAGATATTTTTGTCCTTCTTTAAAATCAGAAAGGGTCACTCTGTTAAAGCATAAACGGGAACAGCCTACACACAAACAGAAGCACAAAAAATTAGAGACATTTAACCAAGAAATTAAAAAAATCTAACCCTAAAACAACACAATCTCCACAAGCCTGGTATGGAACTAAGCTAGTTTACACCTTCTAGAAAAAGAAACTAATCATGCCCAGGATCTAAATAAGAATCATATCGAATAAGGTTTCCAATTGCAAATATCAGAGCTGGTAAAAAAGTTTAGCGAAAAGTAACAACAAATGGATTTATTACAATGATTAAATACCATGATAAGTTCAAAAATGTTATACATACCTGGCGCAATCCTATGATCCTGGAGAGCATTCCAATTAGTATATCCGTATTTAAGCTCCTTTCATGAGCCTCATCAAGTATGATTACCGAGTAACGCTTCAATAGAAAATCACTCTGCAATGTTACCAACATAGTAAGCAAAGTCGGATAAAAAACTATTGTTTGACTCCCATGATTTGAGATACCCGCAAAAAGAAACAAATCGTTCAATGTAAAGGGAAAAATTGACATGTCTTTCACACATTGGACTCAAAGGGACATTTCAAGTAGATACCTGCACTTCTTTTAGCAGAATCCCATCAGTCATAAACTTGATGGAGCTACAGTCACCCATCCTCCTGTCATGCCTAACTTGAAAACCAACCTCTCTACCCAAACGTACACCTAATTCATATGACACTCGTTTAGCTGTTGCAAGAACAGCCACACGACGAGGCTGAGTAACACCAATCATTCCTTTCTTTGTAATGCAATTACTCGAACCAAAACCAGCTTCATAAAGGAACTGTAAGAAATTCCAGCACATTGAGAAACATAGAAAAGTAAGGATCATTCAGAAACAAAAGGAAAATAAATCCTCAAAAGACACATGGCACATACAAACCTGAGGAACTTGGGTGGTTTTTCCACATCCTGTTTCTCCACATACAATAACAGTAGAATGTTCATTTATTGCTTCCATTATCTCCTGCTCCATCATAACTACAGGGAGATCTATCCTCTTAGTTTCAACCTCTGCAGGCCTTAATACATGCACCACACTCGTACCACTGAAAGAGTCATCTTCATTACAAGCCAATGGAGCACCACTATTTGAGGAATGTCGTGCAGATTCATCAGCCCCCTGACTCTGATTCTGAGCAGTTTCACAAGATTTATTAGTGGAATAATATGAAGCATTCCAACTTGCACAAAAAAAAATAAGTATTCCAGTTTACCATAGGAAATAAGTGATAAATAAATAAATTTTGGGTTTGGGCTTGATACTTTAGGGTGTTGACAACTGCAACATTAAATTGCAAGCCAGAATCCTACTGCTAACCTGCCCAAAAATATGGTAAAAAAGAACATGATAGGTTATTTTGATTCTACTCATAAGTGCATGCCGCAAGGTATTCTAACTGTACTGTCCTTTTTTATTGCAAAACATCAAAAATATTTTTTACAGCCTTTGTTTGCAAGGTAACTTGTAACGTTATGAAAATATCATTATTATTTTTTTGAGAAATCAAAATGTGAAAATTTTTTAATAGGCAAAATATGAAAAATCACACGATAACATATTGTAAAAACAAATACATAGTGGTCAATGTGTTGAATATAAACACGAAAGCATATTAGATAAGGCCAAGGCACCTGCGAAGTGGGGTCTTTGCCTTCATCATCAAGCCCACAAGGAACCACTGGATGATCTTTAATATCAACCTGCATATTTGTTACAACTTCCCTCTGTGTATTGGGGTCTTTGCTTGCAAGCCTACAAGGATTATCTGGAGGATTTCTAAGATCAACCTGCATGTTTTTTTCCAAACCCACTTGTGAAATGCGGTCTTTGCATAGACCATCATGCTCCCTAGGAATAGCTGGAGGATCTCCAAAACTAACCAGCATATTTTTTTCTGAGCCATTGGATGAGAAAACAGATATTGAAACCACAGGTTTATTCTTGGTTTCTATATACCGTGGAGGTTCAACTGCTCTCTTCAAACAGAATTCGCTAGTTTCAGCTTTCATTGTGAAATCTTCTTCTTGACAAGATGCATCTACTCTAGTTCTTTTCTTGAGAAGTGGGACATCATCCGGAACTGGTAATCCCACCCTAGAATATTGCAATGCTCTTCTAAGTTTTTCTTTCATTGTTTCAACCTGAAATTTATTGGAGAGAGAGAGAACGACAGATGAATACCATTAAAAGTAAATCTCTGTAACAATATTTTGATATATATTTTTGAATAAATGGTTTTTTATCTATTAAAACATTTACATTAAAATTTTAAAATGCATATTAAAAAACATTCAACATGTAGAACCTGTGCAATGTTCCCAGAGGGCCTCAGCAGTGCCTGTACTTCTTCTCCAATCTGGCATTTTCTAAAAGGAATGAAATTCAACCATCAAACCAAGCTTAAACAAATTTGTATGCAATGAGTTCTGAAAAAGTAAGCAAAGTTATAGCTCTAATTTGGTCAAAAGTACTTGGCCAAAAGATCATAACCAAATTGTTATATGTGAACACATGCATATATCAGCCATTGCAACTTTAATTTCAGCTAAAGTTGGACGAAATTTGGATATCATTTCAGAAGATTTTGGCTCAAATTGGTCC